CAATTTATAATGCCGAGGAGAGAAATAAAGATCTAACACCATTGACTGACAGTAGACAGATACAGCAGCTACAACAAACCAATGGAGACACCTTAACAGTGATTGAAGAGAAGGACGGCGAATCCTCCGGCACAAACCAGGTATCTACCGTAAGTGATGCAACTGCCACAGCGGGCTCAGAAACCAAAGATTTTTCCTCTTCCACAGGCATCACCAACACTCACACCGAATTAACAAACACAACGGATTCCAACTCTCCTGCAGCTCTTGACACGAATATCAAAGAAGGTTCACAAGAAACAAATTCCACTATTCTGGCCAGCACTACGAACACTGTCAGCGAAGCAACAACAACAACACTTCCTCCTGTTCCTGTACCCAATGCAGAGATCAGCAGCATCGCCTCCACAGTTCAGAAGAAGGCTAATGTTGACAGCAGTGTCAGTCCTGTGCGGATGCGCACTGCAGCACCTCTACTGATTGTGGTTGCGTTGTTCTCCGCTACCATGTACTGAACGGTGGGACTCATCTGAGGTCAAATAATAATAATGGTACTCACATAACCATAATTGCGTACATCCCCCATGGGTGAATAAATTAATAATCTGTTTACCATCTTTCTCTTTTAATTGGAATTTCTTTTCTTTTACTTTTGTGTGTGTGTGTGTTCTTTTTTTTATAATTCCATTACTTGCTTTTTCCGTTGTGTGTGTGCAGAAAACTGGGCTGTTCTGCTCACTGACGGTATACATCTCTTGCTAGTACACACAGATATGTTTGTGTGTGCAGTAATTTAATATATAAACTAGAGCCATGGGGTATTGTGTTTGTGTTTGGCTCTCTCTCTTATTTGGGTATTGTTGGATCTTTTCTTTTTATTTCTATTAAGGGATACATATTATACATGCAAGGTGGATATTCCTTTTTCTTGTTTTACGGTGCAGTTGATTCTCTCTTTTCTACTGTGAGTATTTGTTGTATTGGTGTATGTTTGTTTTTATCATAATTCTTTCCTTCTGTTCCTTCTTGTATCAGTCTATTGAAGTAAACAGCAGCAATGATAAAAGTTGTAATGGTGAGGTGTTACCTGCTCTGTTTACTAACTCTTGCACTCTGTGGTGCTTGTGGGTTAGTATGGGCTGATAGTCCTAAAGCTTCAAATGCCCTTATTAAACCTTCCACTGTTGGTGTTCCTTCTCTTGTTCGTCGTGCCGTTCCGGCGATTCTTCTCACTCCTTGTTGTGATGAAGAAGAGTGGTTGGGTGAAGAAGTTGAAGAAAACAAAGATGTTTCCAAAGATTCTCGTACTTCAGAGTCTTTGAGTAGCAGTACGTCCCACAGTAGTGCCCTGTCCGGTAGTGGTGCTGATCGTCACGACACTAATAAGGTACAAACGCAGGACGGAGTGCAAGACCTCTCAAAACTGAAACCTTTGGCAGAAGAAAACAGACACCTCGGAGGGGATGCGGGTCACAATCAACAAACAAATGATATCAACCCATCAGTTAATCCAAGGGTAAATGGGCAAGTGAGTGCTACTCTTCCAGCCATATCTCCTCCTGCTCTTGGAGGTCAACAGCCTGTTTCTCCTTCACCAGAGCCAGCTCCAGAAAGACCAAAGGTATCCAGTGAACACTCAAGTAAAGAACGACATGATGAAGCATCCACTAAAGACGATCATGCTCTTCAACATGCAATGAAATCACCTG